AGAGGATAAAATCAGAACTTAGACCAAGAGTCCTATTCCTGACTAGGGTTATTTTCACCATGTTGTCTAGAATATGGCTGAGTGCTGATGGCAACACTTTCTGGAATGCCAGAATACTCACTTGAAGCCCAAAGGAAGACATTTCTATACTTACAGGCTATCTACCTATGCCCTTGCTAATTTTCTTTTACCAAATCACCTTGGTTGGTCAATGTTCTATCATGGCTCAATCCTAGATCCTATAAACAGCTTTTAGGTAATTTAATAATTTATCAGTTCGTTTGGTCATTCTCAGTCTGGCCTATTTATTGCACCCCTACTCTTGCCACCCCAGAACTGGGGGTAAAAGGGAATGACATGATGGAAATGTGAAGATGGAGTGTTTGGTTATCACAATGACTATTATCACATTGATGGTGATCTGGTATTCATTCCCAAGGATGCTAAAAACTCTGCACAAGGGACAACTGTCTTAACCAAGAAGCCAAAGATATAATCTGTTGACAAGCAGTAGTAGCAACTGAGTCCCAGTTTTAACAAAATTCTTTTCTATAGAAAACATGGATATTGATCCAAGAGCTGTCTCTGACTAGCTCTACCATTTTCTTCAAGTCATTAGGCTTTATGAGCTCAGTTTCCTCATCAGGAAATTATGCTAAATAGTATTGTTTAATTTTTTATTATATTTTAATTTATTTTGCTTTTATCATTATACTTATAATATATTTTTATATTCTATCATACAGACCTACATTTGTGGCAAAACTTTGTTATCCTATGGTTTTTTAAGGCATTAGTTAAATACTGCAACTAGCTCCTTAACCTCCTTAATATTAAGGAAGCATACTTTAAAATCCCCTTTCCTATATCCAGTGAAGACCCCAGAGGCTATACAACAATGAAAGAATACTAGGAGTTACATGAGATATTACAGTTTCTTCAAGAGTTCTCAGGAAACTGAAACATATGTGGGCATGATCGATGGAATAATTCACAAGAGTGGAATAGGTGATTTTAGCCTTGAATCAAGGAAGCATTGACTGACTCAGAAAGTGAAAAAATAAAATAAAATAAAATATCAAAGGGAAAATCTATAATAGACATTCCTCATTCTGAGTGAATATCAGTGAACCAGGCAGGGAAGAACTAAGACAAACGGGTGAAGGGGAAACACAAAGACTTCACAGCTATCTGAAAAGTAAGGCTTTATAGAGTAAATTAAAATTGGGACACCAGAGGCATCAGGGAAGTGGATTACAAGTAGTTAGACTATGAGTGTGTATAATCAATGTTTACTGTATCTATATGTTTAATGTTGAAATAGGTTAACACAGTTACTGGCATGGAAAAAATACATTGATGGTTACAAGCCACACTGTACTTCACTTGAAATTTCAAAATAGAACTTTGGTATTGAATCAGTGGGTGATCACTGCATCCCTAAAATATGCAGTTTTCAAACTGCTGAATGTTAATTAACAAAAGGTATAAATTGTATATCTTGGTTCTTACCCTATGGACCATATGGAATTAAGTGGTAGACCAGAGCTTGCCCCCTACTTGTCCAAAACCCTAAGGAAAAAATAACTCAGGGCTACAGACATAAAGACTAGTGATTGGGTTGTTGTTATGCAACTTACCTTGAAGCAGGTTATGCATATAAAGACCTAATCAAAAAGAAATTGCTAATCGCTATTCTTCTTTCTTCTTACATATTACTAATCAAAGACCAAGAATGCATTATGACATCATTAAAACATCTTTCTCGCTGCCTAACACTCAGGCTTTGTGAGTATGAAGTCAGTCAAATGGTGTGGTAGTTAGCTCCCAAAATGGGTAACAATGATTCCTGCCTCCTGGTATTGCCACCCTTGTGTAATCTGATGCCATAGTGTATGGGGTTGGTCTGCGTGACTAATAGCATCTGGCAGAAGAGATGGTAAGATGGTATATCACTGCTGCACTTAGATCATAAAAGACAGCTGCTTCTGTCTTGGGCTGGCTCTCTTGCATGCATGTTCTCCTTTCACTCCCTACCTCTCTGGAAAGCAAGCTGCCATCCTGTGAGCAAACCAATGGCAAGGAACTGATGCCTCCAACCAACAGCCAGTGAGAAATAATAGCCAGTGAGACCAACCAACAACCCACGAATAATCTTGGAAGAGAATTCTGTAGCCCCAGTGGAGGCCTGAGATGACTGAAAAACCAGGCTACATTATAACCTCACAAGAAACTTTGAGCCAGAACCGCCCAGTAAATTGACTCTCTTTTCCTCACCAGGAGAAACTGTGTGAGATAAGAACTGTTTGCAGTATTCAGCTGTTAAATTTTAGGACAATTTCTTACACAACAATAAATAACTAATACAGATGGCAAGAACTGGGGTATAAAATATTCTGTTTAAAAGATGGCAGATCAAATACTTTATATTTTAGTGTTCTCAGAAATTAAGCAGGCAAACTAATTTAAAGTTTTGTATAGTCACATAAACGTGGATTTTTCCTATGAGTCAAAGACATATCTATCGGGTAAAAAAAAGTTGTATGAATACACGTTGACTACAAAATCCACTTTATGATTTTAACAAACCTTTAGAATTTTAAATTGCTTCCTTATTTATTTTCTTCACTGGAGCCCCAATTTCAGCTTCACTGAAAATCCAGAGCAGGTGGGAAAAAATTGTACTTGAAAGTGGAGATAATCTCCTTTCATTTGTAATAGAGCAACTCAAAAACTGCTGAAGTTGGAGATAATGGCCTCTATGAATTAGCTGCAATGCTGCATTAACTTGTTGTCATTACCATCACTATTAAAACTGCAGCTAAACATTCATCCCATGCTATACAGGGCACATTATCTATATAAAAGACATCATCGGTGCCCTCTAGGAACAGATCTGCAAAGTTCAAAAGCAGTGAGTTCTCACTGATATATGAAAAAACCGGATTGCACTATATCAATTTAGGACTACGCAATGTAGGAACTATAAGATTCAGCTACTCTTACTTTAAAACCAAACCTTAACAAATATAAATTAACTTTTGATGTTAAAAAAAAAGTGAAGCATGAAATAGAAGAGAAATTCATCAAAAGGTATTCACTCAAAATTTTCCTTTATTCTTGAGCCATTCAGAAACAAAAAAGCTGGCTTCCTCTTATTTCCTGTTATTTCCTCATCCTAGACAGAAACTGTCAGATTGCTACTTCCAGTTTTGGCAAGCCAGCAGCATTTAAGAGAGGAGGAGAAAAGTCACATCTGGCCAGATCTTCGACTTGTTGGTGAGTCTGCTTGTCCCTGCCTCTCCTGCTGTTTCTTCTGCTCCCGAAAATATGATTAATATCTATGAATTTGTAAAACTCTGCATTATAAGCAAGGCTGAGGGCTTTCCATCCCAAGGAGGTTGAGGGATGGAGTTAATGACAAGTGAGGCTGTGGCGAATGAATAGAAACAAGCCAATGTTAACGTAATTGAGCATGAATAGCAAACACTGACTTGGGAACAGTCTTCATTTGGTGATGGAAAGTCTGATCAGCTGGTGGGCAGATGGAACGTGCACAGATCTGCATTCACTGCTGGCCCCAGAATTTTCAGATCATAACAACCTATAGTGTATAACCTTGGTACCTTTGTTTTCCCATCTAAAATCATGTTTCCCTTCTCTTCTTTTCTCACTTTCTTTTCTTTTCCTTTCATTCCTTCCTTCCTTCTTCCATTCTTCCCTCCCTCCTTCCTGTCTTCCTTCCTTCTTTCCTTCCTTCCTATGAAAGATTTCCTTTCTTCTTTTTGAACTTATCTCATCCATCCATAAGTCTTATAAAGAATTTAAAGTTTTATTATTTCAATGACTGCTATTTGTTTTAAAAATAGGTATAATTTGCTAAGGCCAGTCCAGAATAACACAGATGATGGTGCTGTATCTAGAAGAATTACTGAGGCTATAATTTTTTTTAAAAAAATCTTGCATTGTTGGGGCTGGCCCAGTGATGCAGTAGTTAAGTTCATGAGCTCCACTTTGGCGGCCCTAGGTTTGTGGGTTTGAATCCCGGACTCAGACCTACACACCGCTCCTCAAGCCATGCTGTGGCAGCATCCCACATACACAATAGAGGAAGTTTAGCACAGATGTTAGCTCCGGGACAATCTTCCTCAAGCACAAAGACGAAGAATGGCAACAGATGTTAGCTCAGGGCCAATCTTCCTCACCAAAAACAAACAAATAAAAAAACAAAACCTCTGCACTGTCCTCTAAAGCCAGTGAACGTTTGAATTAGTGATTACTATAATACAGTCCTGTGTGTCTTCTATCATTCTCAACTAGATTATTTCCATGTTCTTCTTCAGCGGCAAGGATCTCTGGAAGATTTGCACCAGTAGTAACAAAATGAACACGTTAATAAGTTGTATATTATTATTAATCTCAAGCTGTGACAAATAGCTTTATTCAGAACAGAGTAATAATAGTTTCCAAGAAACTAAACATTAAAGAAATAAACTGTAATTCTACATTTCAAGGAACATACAATTACGCATTTTTACAAAAATCACCTACAGAGATGTATTTAGTACTTTACAATGCAAAAAACTGGACACAACTTAGATGTAAATCAATTAGGAACTGGCTAAGTAAAGTACAGCACATTCATTAATTGAAATTAAAAATGATTTGTGAAATATATGTAATAGCTAATGAGGATGTAGGCAACAATAGTATATTATTAAATGAACCTACATAAACTATAAACTTATTTAAAATATGTATGCTTAAAGGACTAAACATTAATGCTTACCTGATGGTGACAGAATTTCTAAGATTGCGTTTCCACTTGTCATTTTCTAAATTTCCATTTGAATGTGTATTACAATTGCTATCAACATATTTTTAAGTAACCAAACAATGAGTTTCTCAATCATTTACACATACACCAAGAAAACCAGAAAGAACACAGGAAAAGCAAACATATGAGAAAGATCTTAAATATAAACGTGTTCATAGTTTACCTTAATGGTGTAGTATTCTCTAACTTCAGGCCTAATAGAATCAAAATCCCCACTGATGAATTCAGGCAAAAAGCTGAAAGAAAAAGTACCAAGTAAGTCAACTAATTAAGATAACTTACTTTTTAATCTTTAAAACTATGATTATAGGGACCAGAGAGAACACCAATGTACTCAAAAGGAAAAAGAAATAGAACAGAGTCTATTTTTAGAGCAAATGGGATATCATATCTTATACTCTTGGTTTCAATATAGCGTGACTGAGGGGAAGTCCGCATACCCAACTAATTCATCAACTTAATCACACTATCAGTCAATATTTATCTTGCTTTAAAAAATAAAGATTAAAGAAGACCACTGGTTTAAAAAACTCAGTTTATGAACAACACAAAGACTCATAATCTTTGCATATTGCCTCCTACATATAGACAAACCCCTACATTACCAGACCCTCACACAAGTTCCAAACTTTCAACAGATTTGAACAAATGATCATGAGGATTAGTCATTCTTTGCAGAGCTCTGCTCTGTCAGTTCAAAGACATTTCTAATTATCCTATTGACACATTTCTAGAAAGAGGAGTCTTCTAGATAGGTTTGAAATACTACACAGGTCACAGTTACTAAATATTAGAGGGAGAGGATTCCCAAAAACATGTGTTTCTAATTATATCACAATTATCTTCTTTCACTTCCCTACCATTTATGTTTTCTCAGAACTCATTTCAGAACGCATAAAGCCCATCTTACTCTATGTACATAAGCCGTCCTTTATTATTCGAACATAAAACATCTACATGACCTGGTAGGTTTCTTTCCACTTAGAACACCTAACTGGAGAAATCAAACTTCCCTGGATTGCTCAGTGCCCCTGCAAAAAGCCCCAGTGTCCTCAGCCTCTGAAACATATTTTATATCAAGAAGGGAAAGTTTGCTTTCATTTCCTCCAGAAATATTCTATTCTTCACATGCCATGAGAATTAGATCTGCAGCCATTTATCTAGTTAATTGTTCTGATTCAAAAGAATAATAAAATCTCTATATGTCTTTTCAAGAGGGCAAACTTGTTACATGATGGACTAGAGTTCTAGTTAAAGGGAGACTGGAGCTTCATCTCCCCTGGTATTATATGTCAAAAGAGATGAAGCCCCAGAATATCCGTAGCGACATCTCTAGGTCATAAAAGCCAAGACACAGGGGGCTCTCTGGCTCCTAGAGAGATTTTACTCATGTACCAATGGGTTGGGGTTAGGATTCAGGGGCACAGAATTTCCACAGAGACCCTTTCAAGAGAAGAGAAGCACACTTAATAAGTTTAGGGACAAAAAAATCATATTTCCTCATCTTTCACCTAAGAAGCATGCAGTTACTAGCACGGGACAATTGACTTGGCTGTCACTGCATTTGCCAACGGCTAAAAACTAGAGCAATGGGGACAAGGGTAATAAGAAATCCGACTGAGAACCCCTCGTGTGCATTTAGGACAAAATTAATGAAGATGAATATGAAAAACCCAACACTAACCTTATTCTTTAGTACAATTTTGTTTTCAAGTTCTTAACTCAACTGGAAATATTACTTCTTAGGTCTAACCTAATCTAACTAATCTATGTTGGACCAACTCTTCCCTGAGCTCTGTGTCTTCCTAGGACTACAAGTTAAGACGAAGTTCTACTGCACAGATCTGCACCACATAAACTGCTTAGGTTAGTTTTTTGTTAACCAATAATGGTTACTTATTGACATTTTTGGTAATAAAATGTTTACATTAATCAATTGATTCCAGAAATATTCACTGAACATCAGCCATGTGCAAAAAAACAATAGTTTATTTCAGAATAAGGCAGAATTGGGAAGTAAAGTACCTATGTTTTTAAATCACCTTTCCTGGTTTCAACACTTTCTTATAAACTTTTCTCCTCAAAATGTCCCTGCCACCATATCTACTACTTTCAATTTCATTTTATACCTATTTAGGTAAGTACCTTAGACCTTACCATGGTTAGAACTGAAAAGAGACTATTCCTTCTTCTTTATTTTTTTTTCCTGTTGCAAAAGTTCACTCATTTTTCAAGTTTCTTTAAAATGCCTCCACCTACCAACATTCAACCACACAGAGATTAAAACTCATATGGATCACAGAATATTAGTGCTTCTTATGGTCTGAATGTTTATGTCCTCCCTAATTCATATGTTGAAATCCTAACCCCTAAGGTGATGTTATTAGGAGGGGGGGCCTTTGGGAGGGTGGAGCTCTCATGAATGGGATTAGTACCCTTATCAAAGAAACCCCAGAGAGCTCTCTTGCCCCTTCCACTATATGAGGACACAGTGAGAAGACAGCCATCTATGAATCACGGAACAGATCTCACCATACAGTGAATCTGCTGGCACCATGATCTGGGATTTCCCAGTCCCCAGATATGTGAGAAATAAGTGCTTGTTGTTGATAAGCCACGCAGTCCATAGTATTTTTATAGCAGCTCGAAAGGATTGAGACAGTGCTGGAAGGGACAAAAGGAACCATCCTTCCAGTATCCTCATTGTCCTTTATAAGGAACTGAGAGCCAAGAAGTCAAGTGAATTTTGTCTGGATGACCAGTATCCAATCTACTTCACCATGTAAAGCAGCCACTTAAACTTAGGACTCAGTCTGAATCATGCAACTTCCTAATAAGACTGATGCTACATTGCTCTACAAATTTTAGTCTTTCAAACATCTAGAATCAATTTGGCAGTTTCCAAATATCCTATTGATTTTGACAATAAATAAAAATGAAAAATAAAAATCAATACATACAGGAAGCTGAGATGTCTGTCCCCTTATATCATTTGAAGGAGAATTACATCTCTTTTTATCTTATACTGTGAATAATGAAGGAGAGTAATCATGTAAACTCACTTATATTTTCGTATAAAATATTAACAGGACAACAAACTTATATACATAAAAGATAAGTAACTTTGGTTAACTTTTAATATAATTTTCCCCAATATAACATATACGCTTTTAAAATGAACCAAGATGCTTATTTTTAAGAAGACTCATCCCAAAAATACACCTGGAGTACATGCTAAGATGACTAAAATAATTATTACTTTTCATCATATAATACTACACTAATTTTTGAAACTTCCTGAAATGTGCTTTTGGATGCTGCAATTAAACACCCATTTCACATTTTCTGAGGCACCTGTTGCCATGGTACCCGGGCATTGTGAGGAGGTACTTATTGGGGATGACACTTCACAGATGTTTTTATGATATAAAAGACCGTTTATAGGGGAATATTTTCAGAATTCTTTGGGTACTGATTGCACAGAGCAACTGACTAAGGGTATATAGATTTGTATCACCACTGATCACATTTCTGTCTACTGTTGTCATAGATCAGCCCAGCACATCTCTTCTTGGTATCCTCAACCTATGGGCACTGACTTCTTAGTACTAAAGTGTGTTCCAAATTCTCCATAAATGGTGTTGATTCCTTCAATATTTACATTTAACTCTTACTGTACTTGCCCCCTCACTAATGACTAAGAGTTCAAAACGGGCTGAGATTAATTAATGAGCTAAAGATCCATCACATGTAATAATTGAGAGGGAGGTCGATATATTTAGAAAATATGCCTAAACATGATGTGTTAGAATACAACTATCGCCTTTCATAAGACACTTCCTGATACCAGTGAAGAAGGATATCCCTCCACAGAGCCTTCTTTGCTCCCAAAGAAGACACAACCATGCCCTTAAAACTTCCATTTCATTTTAAGCAGTTTCTGTAAACGTTTTTTAGTTTCTACTAGATTGTAAGTTCTTCGGAGCAGGATCTCTCCCTGACTGATCCTGGTATTCCCCGAAGCAGCAAGTACATAGTTGCTGATAATACAGTTGTGCATCACTGAATGACGGGGACACATTCTGAGAAAGGCATAATTAGGCAATTTCGTCATTGTGCAAATATCATAGAGTGTGCTTACGCAAACCTAGATGGTGTAACCTACTACATCCCTGGGCGATATGGAGCTAAGCTTATGGGACCACTGTTTTAATGACTGAAACGTCATTATACGGTGCATGACTGAATATGAAAACATGGTAAATCTAACTATCAAGGAAATAAATTTTAAAGCAATAGTAGGATATTGTCATTCACACAAGAAATTGTCAAAAGTTAAGACAAGCACAGGCTGAATAAAATGGGCACACTTATAGACTAGTGGGATGGTGAATGGAATATAGTCTATAAACAAGCAATCCCACTTTGGGAAACTATCCTACAAAAAACAGTACACAGGATATGTGTACAATAATAATAAGGGAAAAAACTGAATGTTCAATAGTACAGAGAAAGTTGACCAAAATGCAATGTACCCTGACAGGGAAATTAGGCAGCTGTAAGAGGAGTTGACATCTGTCCTAGAGAGAATGTCCACCACATGTTAAGTAAAAAAAGCAAGTTCTAGAAAAATGTATACACTTATCTTGATTGTAGTTTTAAAAAAATTTTTCTACATACAAGCTGTATATTATTGATATATACAACTTGATGAGTTTAGAGATAAGTACACATCTATCAAACTATCACCACAACCTATGTCATAAACATATCCATCACCTCCAAAAGTTTCTTCCTGGTCTCTTACTTATTCCTATCATTTTTTGATACGAACATTCAACATGACGTCTAACCTCTTATATTGTATACTTAAAAGTTTAACTTTTAAGTATACAATATAATATTTTACTATAGGTACTATGCTATAGAGCAGATCTCTAGGACTTATCTTGTGTAACTGAAACTTTGTGCTCTTTGACTAATACCTCTCCCTTCCTTCTCCCCCTCAGACCCCGGCAACTACCATTCCACTCTCTGCTTCTATGAGTTTGACTACTTTCGATTCATCATAGAAGTGGTATCATGTAGTATTTCTTCTTCTGTATCTGGCTTATTTCACTTAGTATAATGTCCTCCAGGCTCATCCATGTTGTCAAGAATAGCAAGATTTCCTTCGTTTTTAAGACTGAATAATATTCCAGTGTATGTATATATCACATTTTAAGGGTACATTCAT